TACCTTTCGTATATTTGCATCAATCTTTTTTTTTATCATGGTTATACTGATTTGACCATTGGTCTAGCCAGTCCTGGATATTTCATTGTTATTAGATTAATTAAATTAATCAAATAATTTATGTCCGTAGAATTGTTTTAATTTTTCAATAAATAAAAACCCCATGTCCTAAACATTGATCGTCTTAGTAAAATAATATTATAAAAGGCTCTATGTTCAGTATTCATAAGCAGTGCTTTATTGGAATTAGTGTTCATAATAGTGATAGTGAGAGCTTCGGCTTAAATTAATTCTATTTTGTAGTTCGCACCTGTATCTAGTTCGTATATTGCAATTATTATAATTGAAATAAATTATATTTTATACTTTTAATAGGCATAATTTATAATAGATTGAACATTTTAATACGTGGTATAAGTTTAAATGATTTGCTAATGTATGTGGCTCGAATTACAAAATGTAATTACAAAATCAAAATTTTTTAATTTTAATTAATATATTAAGCACTATAAATTATGTTTCCTAAAATATTTATTCATATATGAATATAACCAGAAATATGTAATAAATATATTATAATATTCATTAATCGTTGTAATTATATGAATAATACGTGCATTTATGCAAAGCTTTCAGAATTTCTTTCGTTCTACAGATACACTAATAAATAGTCCAATTTAGTTACTCTGTAATTTTTAATTAAAAATTATCATTAAACATAAAAAATTATCGATAAATTATGAAATTAATGTGTATTATTTGTAAAACATATTTTCTAACGAGATTTCCTCTATTATTATATTTCTATTATTAAATCACCTTTGAAAGCTCTAAAATCTAATTCCCTTCATATTATACTCTTTCTACCCCCGTTAGTTTTTTTTTTTCATTTATTTTTCTTTATCTAACACTACATTTTCTATCTCTAACAAGAAAATGGATTTTATCTATTTTATCATGGAGTGTAGTTTTGCGCAATAACGAAATTCCGAGTTAAATTCTGTTTTACATTAACCTTTGACGAAGTGTTAATAATTTGTTAATATTACAATATATATAAGAAATATTATGTGAGTAGACGAGAAAGTAAAGAACAGAAAGTGAGTAAAATCGAGAAATGGAGCAGAGTAGAGAGCTTAGAAAAAAATTAAAATTGCGAAAAACAACAATAATAGAGAGAAGATGTAGAGTGTTTTAAGTTATTTTCTCAGAATAGTACTCTATTCTTAATTGGTCACTCCTTTTTAGTATTCACGACAGAGTATTACGTATTCGTTGTCTGCATTCAACTCAACATTGCTGCACTTCGAGAACAATACTGTGCACTCTGTGCTCTGCACCATTGACCGCGTAAGAAACCTGGAAATAACTATGGAGGATTTTTAAGCGAACGATGTAGAAAAATGTAAAGAGAACTTGGATGAAGCTTTTACATTTAACCGAAAGTCACTTGGCTCGAGCTAAGTCGAACTACTGAAAAACAACGGAAAAACTTAAGCCATTCACTTCGTCGATAGTTGCATTTTTTATGGGCTAGTAGAAGAAATGTACATAGGTGAAATTTTCATTGGCAAGCTTTACTTAGCAAGTTGGTAATCGAGAGTAGGAAGAAGCAAAGCTTTCACTCTACGTTTGGAATTGTTTGGTTGCTTACATATTTATTCTCCAACATCGGAGTTTGTTAGGACAGACTTTTTTTCAACTATGCTGCCCAAATAAAATTATTTCCTACCGAAATATGTTATTTCATTCAAACATATACTATTTATTATTTATCTTGCAATATATACTTAATATATATTCATTGGAAATAAAAAAAAAACTATAATAAAATAAAATATCCTATAATAATATTTCTTGAAAGTCAAATTCGTAAAACATTTATTTTTAATTGATATTAAATATTTTAAAGAAATGTTCATTTTAATATATTGTAACATTTTACTATGATAAAAAAAAACTAATATTTGTAAATATAATAATTATGCATCATATATGTAAAAAACTATAATTACATATATCAAAATGCAATCATCAGTACTTTTAGAACTATAATACGAATTTCGATACAGTCTTCGTTTTCAAATTAATATTAAGAAATAATATAAATAAATTTGTAGTTTCAATTATTTTTATCAAATAATAAGAAATATTTTGTTACTATAAATATAAATTATGAATCAATATAAATATAAGCATACATATAAATAGATTTGATAACACTCGAATTAAAATTTAATTTAATAAATCGCTAAAAAAATCGACTTCCTATGGACGACATTTACGAGTAAAATATATATATATATAAAAGAGTTTTTTGTACTTCATGAAATATCTGAGCTTTGATCACTGTTTTATTGATGAATCAAAGAGCATTGCTCCATCTACAAGTTACAAGGTATTATGTATTCTAAAAATAGAGATAAACATAACAAAGATTTGAAAGAACTTTTTGACTATCTATCTATATAGTACAGGTATTGTACAAACAAAAAGCTAATTTTAAGCGTCTAAAGGTAAAAAATGCAATGACATTTAAAAAGTGAGCAATGTATCATTGTCAAACATTTATTCATAAATAATGTTTAATAATTTACAATTAATTAATCTATTAATATATTTAATTAGAATATATAAGTTATAATTTAAAAATTACTTCATTTTAAAATTATAAATTAATATTATAATTTATAAAAATTTGAAACATATGATTATTATTATATAATATTATTTTATTATATAAATTGGAAAACATATAATTTTATTAAAAAACTAATAAGTTTGTTAACTAATAGATTAAAGAATATTACACGGTATACTTTCTCAACATCTTCACGTCAAAGAGATTTTAGAGTATTAATTACTTTAACCATACGCAAAAATAAATTAATTAAAAGGCAGTCACATCAAACGATAAACAATATACTAAATTATATAAGAAATTATATTAGCATTTTTAATATTAGAAAATCATAAAAGGAATTGACAGGGTCTGTAGAGTCTACGGCAATAATATGGTATTTATATAAAATATCAATGTAATCATCGATATCACCGGGTATTTATACATTATTAATGTACTATCTATAAAATATAAAAAAATATGAAATAATACGGAAGTAGCATACAATAAAATTTGGTTTGTACAATTATCAAGAAGCCAAGTAATATGACAATTAATTAGGTAGATTGGTAATTTATCAATATGTTAAATATTCGTTTTTTTTTTTTTTTTTAAGTGAGTTATACATATAAAAATTATCAATGACTTTGTAAAATTATTTGCTATGAACAATAAATAACCATTGATAAAACATTTGTATAAGATTTTTATTTAATTACTGAAATTTAACAAATTAAAATAAATTTCTTGTGATTAAAAAAAAAAATTATATTATAAATATATATATTAATTAATAATACGTCGAAATTTTTGTATATACATATTTTCTTTTAAATGTAAGAAGTTTACTTTATAGTCTTTATATTATTTTTATTGATTTCTAAAATGTTTAGATTTTCAATAAATGTTCAAACATGAAAAAATTGAACAAGTAATATATAAGTAATATTATAAGCATAGTTAGTATCCACAATTTTCAAGAGCCTACATTTATAATAATTTCTTTTTTTCTTGTCATATATAGATAAATGTACTAAAATTCGTTGGAGAAAGGAAAACTATAAAATGAGACCAAATATGGCATATAATATTTTACATTTTCAAGCATTCTTAGTGTCTTCTGCAGAGGCGTTTTATAAAACGTGCTTTTAAGTATCCTGTGGAGAATAGGGTATCATATAAGATAGTTAATTTTAGTTTAAGTATAAGGTCACAAAGTTCAAAACTATAAAATGTAGTTTTAGGCTGCTCCAGTAATAAATATACATGGGAATTTTTTACCTTTTATTTTAGTATGTCATCTGGAACTGTCATCGGTTTATATATAACTCTTTCCGTTTTTCACTTATACATATATATATATATATATATATATATACATATACATATAACGTCGTATAAGCACATACTGATATATACTGCCTTTTTTTGTTCTTTAAAAAAAAAAACAAAGAAGAAGCATGATGGAATAGAGATTATCCTTTGCATCTTTTCTCGAAATTTATAGAAATTTTTAAATCCTTTTTTGCATGATAGTCTCTTTTATATCTTTTCTCAAGATTTACTTCATTTACATCTTTCATCTTTCGAATCTTTTATTTCTCTAAATATTTTTTCGACTTTTTCGTCTTTTATATGTAAGAAATGACGAATTTTACTTTGTTTTAACATTTAATTCCAATATCTACTTCGTTGGCTCATGAGTTACAAAATTCTTCCTTTGCTTTTCGATTGCATCGATGCATTTAAAGTTGAACGACCATTTTATAATTTTCATGAAAATTTTACGATCTATACAAAATTACTATTGTCTTTGATAATTTCTAAATAATCAACGAAACTTAATTGTAGTACTAAATTTAAGTGTAACGGAAGTTGAAAGTTTTCACAATTTCCTTTAATTTGTTAGTAAGAAGGCGACTGTAAAATAAAATATAGAGTAAAAATTTAAATAAGAATTTAATTAAAAAAATTTTATTTATAAAAAGCAGTACTTTGTAAGTATACAGTAATAATACAAGTAATACAAGTACTACATAATAATACATAATAATAATAATAATAATAATAATAATAATAATAATAATAATAATACATAATAATACATAATAATACATAAAATAATACATACATAATAACACAAATATTACATGTACTTTGATAAGTTTCTTTGATACAAATGAATTTAAATTACTGCTTTTATATATAAAATATTTAATGTGCTACATATAATTCTAAAAAATTCATTTCAAACTTACAAGTTTATTCTTCATCCGATAATATTTATTCATAAAATATCATCTAATACAAATCAGTCATTCAATATAAGAACAAAAGTTATATTTATTTTATTGTTTAAATAATTAATTCATTTCAGGTTCAACTAGTTTAAAAAATTTAAAAATCACAGTGCCAGAAAGAGTACGAGTTGGTGATTCAGCTTTGTTAACTTGTAGCTACGATTTGGAAGATGCCCATCTTTATGCTATAAAGTGGTACTTGGATGAAGAAGAATTTTATCGTTTTGTGCCAAAGAACGAACCACCTCATGACACCTTTCAAGTACGAAATATTCAAGTTAATGTAAGTAAATTGATTAAATGTATATCCATAAATATTAATTAAAGTAGATAAAAATAAATAATACAAATTTTATATTAAATTTAGACTTTCCAATGATTTTATTTTTGTATAAATTAGAATGCAATAATTGTAGATAAAATTAACCAATTACGCGAAAACCAGTACAAATTTTTTTCTTTCAACCATGTTCTTCATTAATAACCTTATTTTATATGAGAATCATAAATGAAATTAAGTACAGTTGATTGTTTTTATTAAAAATTTATTTTTTAGAAAGTAATGTCAATGCTATCGATTATATATATATATATATTTTTTTTTACTGAAAGTACATATTTACAATAAAATTAAAAAATTGTAGTTTATCTGAAGCAATTAAAAATTTTTTATTTATATCCGTTATTATTTTATATTTCAAAATAGTTTAAATAAGTTTGAAAGTTATATAAAATAATGTATAATTAATTAATTGGATAAATTAAATTTATTTTTTAAATAGTTTGTGTAATGAATAGAAGTTTTTATAATATTATTTACAGAAAATTACATATAATTTAGATAAAACATATTCGAATAAGCAAATGTGTAGTCACAATTCTTTTCCTTAGACACTTAATTATTATTATATTATGTTAGATACCGTAGAACAAAAATCGAATATAATCTGTCTATGTGTAGTGATATTGAATATAGGAGAGAAAGATAGAGATATAGAACTAGACCAAATACAATTTTTGAATTACTGTTGATTTTCACTTCGTAATTAGTCGGCTTTCGCAATTGATAGAGATACTGTGACTTATGTGATCGAATTGAAATGTAAAGTTTCCATCATTTCCCAAGGAGTATAAAATATAAATCAAACGGTATAATCGCATTCTAGGTTATACGAATCAGATTTAAATGACATTGCTTCCAGCACAGGAATTATTTATGAGAATAATAATTGAATAAATCATCGTTACGAACTATTTATTTCCATGATTATTTAGGATTATAATTACTGGCACAAGCCCATTCAAGTAGATAATATATTTGTTTGTTATATACAATAAATAAAAAATCACCTACGTCGCTCATGTTATATAATAAATTTTTTTTATTCTAATTTGTGTGTAATATTTTTTTTTCCAATTTTCGTTTACAATTATTACAAAACCTTTTTAAAATTAAAATGAAAGGTATATTTATTATTTGTGATTGTCATATTAAAGATTTATAAATTAAATTCTGAAATAAATGTAATTTCAATGGAGAAAAGCAAGATAAAAGTTATTATTGATATGTATAATAAAACTTCATACTTTTTAAAATAAAAATTTTAAATTGAAAATTTAGTATCACTCGTAATTGAAAATTTTAAAAAGTATATTAAATACGTGTTATCATTACGTCTATATATGTTAAATACGTCTATCATTTTACCTTTTTTTTTTTTTTAGTAATCGTATTATATATAAAAGGATAAAAGACAGGCTTGAAATTCTGATGAAAAAATTTAGTGAATTTATCTATGGTATATATCTTAATATGAATATTTCGTTTAAATTTTTAGCAGCATGTCTACACTCTAACGAAGGAAGCTCTCCAATAAAAGAGATAGCACTACCTAACGCGTAAATGTAAAATGCTGAATTTGATTTTGTTATTATCGTTACTGATACTTCCGCTTTTAAGGTTGCATGGATACTAAATTAATTTGTAATCATATTTTTATTTTAGCCAATATTTTACTTATTTTACGTGTGGTTAGTACATTTATTAATTATTAATTCTATTCATACTTTGATGATATAATTGATTATTAGTTTATATAATATATATATATATATATATATATATATATATATGAAGAGTATACATACTAATATTAACCAATATTATATATAAATAATGACATAGTTGATATTATGTTGGGTTATTACTTTCGTAATTTATTCAGATATTGACTATTCTTAATTTCTCTTTAAAACTCATATCCAACATCTTACTTCTCATTTGTGCTTTTACATCTTAAATACCTTTCTATTCCGTATTGCTAGTTGTCAAAAATGAAAAATAAAGCTCTTATCAACCACGAAAATGTGTAACTCTTGTGTTTACTTCTTTGAATAAATCCTTTTCGTGTATTTGTTTTGCATTTCACTTACAAATAATGTTTCTGTCTCAACCTTTTTTGAAATTTTGTTGAAAAATCATTCCTGTTAGATATATATTATACTTGTTTATTCGCTAATTTTCATATTAAATTTTTCATCGATTTGACTTTATATATAATTAAAGTATCAATATAAACGATCTTCTAAATTCAAATAATATATCAATATTATTGAATGTACGTTGACAGTTGTTATTGAACATACACAAACATATCAATTAAATAGAAACAAATTCAATGAAAATTTATGTTATAATACATAGATAAAGTCCTCTTTTTATATTTACATATCCTCTCACTTTATTGTCAGACACAATATAAGTTTTACAACGATAAAGTAAGTATGTAAACTCTTGGCGAACGGAAATATATTTAATTAAGTTGAGAGTCCGAGTAATGTTGACAGCTTTTATTTCGATAAATATTTTATTCTAATAGATTACAACTATTTCGTAGATATTGCCTGATTATTTTTTATTATCATACATTTTGATAATTGTGCATAATATAATATGTCATGTATATATTTAAGGGCAATACGGAATATAATGCTTAAAAAATATTATGATGATAAATGGCATTGATTGAAATGTTAATCTATATTTATTTATTATTTCATAAAATTAGAATTAAGACTGATATGAATAAAAAATAAATTAGATATTTTTAATAAATTATTCAAGGTTAACTTTTTATACGTTAGAACTATAGTCTAGCTTTAATAATAATTAATAGTGAATGAGTTCTTATTCCAATGAACAGTATTGGAGAATATCGTATAAAAATAAAATTCTTAGCTAACATAATAAACGCATTATTAATTTTAATTTACGTAAAAATTTATTAATAAAACATAAAAATTGTATATTTGAAAATAGTTTGAAGCCTTATTGAATATAACCCATATTTTAATCTTTATATAAAAATTTATTTATTTATTTAAATTTATTTCAAATTACAGGAAAAAAAAACAAATTACTTTTTCCATAATTTTTTGTATTTTAAAAATGGAATAAGTAAATTTGTGGTAAAACATAATTATTAATTTTATATTTAGATCCCATAAAAGTATTCAAACTTAATATGATAATTTAATATCAATGACTTTAATTACAACAAAATACTGGATCTTATAAAAATCAATCTTATTAATTTTATCAAATTATCAAGTTTTCAACAAACACATACTAACAATAAAATTGAAAATTATAATTTATTTTTATAACGAATTTTGCATAATTATGTATTCAACTATTAATTATTATAATTATCATTAAAATTTGTATATCTTACTTATTCATAAAAAGAGAATTAACTATTTGTTTATAAACAAAAAATGTATTATGTCACAGATATATTAATATTAATAATTTACTTAATAATTTATAATCATTAATATATAATCATTATAATCCCAAGCAATATTATGATTATTTAAATAGACTTTATTACTTTTACTGGAAAAGCCTTACATCAACAACACTTAAACATTAAAGGGATGACGAGTTAATAGATGTAAAATAAATAACGAGGTGATAAATTAAATTTTATATAATAATATTTTATGGAAGTTAAATGCTATTTAATCAGCTTTTTTATATAATCCAATTGTTCAGAATTGTTAAGAAAAATTTCACGATAAGTAAATATAAGTTTGCATTCTTTAAATTTTTTTCATCATTAGATAATAAATATTTATTAAATTTTTTCGAATTTCACGTTATTAATGACACAAAATGAGTTATTTATTGCCCATATTTAAGGCTGGAGATGCTATATTAGTATTATAGTATACATATTAATACATATTAATACATTATTAATAAATATCAATACACAATCAATTGTGAGATCATACTATACGCATTCATTTATTTCTCATTAATATTTTCATGTGATCTCATTTACTTCTTCATCAGATATTATTATTTAATTACCTTTCAAATGATATTGAAGATTTATTTAACGTGTGTAAATATTTTGAAATATATTGTGTTAAATATAAAACACGATTAAAATATTAAATATTTCACATCAGTATTTGAATGAAATTCTTTTAAAATATTAATAATGAATAAAATGACAAATAAAGAGGATTAATATTCGGATAACAATAAAATTCAGATCTAGTAAATTGATACACTAAAATTATATATTGAACTCTGAAAGAAATCAAAGTGCATTTACAAAAAAGAAAAGCTTAAACTATATTTGAAATAACTAGCCAAAGAATATCACATAATGTAATATAATATTCTTTAGTGATTTTTATAGATTTGAACGAAACTACTATTACCGTGGAATAATATTTTATATATAATATAAGTTTGTGCATGAATGTATTTACAAATAAATTTTAAATATAATTCGTTATAATACAATTTAAGACCTATTACTGTTCACTAAGTAAAATTTAAAAAATGAGATAAAGAAAGGAAATAAGACAAACGAGAACGAAAACAAAGCATTATTTTTATAGTAATGTTTTTTATAGAATATGTAAAAATTCATTTATAAGTTTGACCAATAAAAGACAAAGCATATGATCATATAAATGTTATTTATAACTGGAGAACAATAAATATTATCTTCAAAGATGGCGCGTATGAAGCATTTTAAAGGTAAAAAATAAAAGAAGTAACATTACCTATTTAAAGCTTGAATAAATGAATAAAATATGTCATCGATAATTTAATTTTCTATACAACTGACAAAGTATAAGTAAATGAAATTATTTTCATAATAGTTATTAACATTACAAGACTTTAGGTAATTTGAAGTAATCGTTTCAACATTGATAGTATTTAATAATTTGTTTTTTTTTACAAACCATTAAACTTTAAAAATATATAAAAAAAATATATCACCATTTAGATTGCCATTTACAGATAAATATACACATAAATTAATTAATGAACATTATAAATTATTGCACTTTAAATAACTATCATTTCCTATCAAATCAAATTTCCATATCAAAAAGATTCATGACTTTTTATTAAAAAAATTTTACCTTCGCTTTGTATATGCTTGAATTATTTGCCTGTACTTGAAATTATCTATAAAAAGAATATTGATCCTTAATATTTTAAATGTTGATAAAAATTGTCAAGTATCAATTATTGTAAAATCCAATAAATACAGTAAAATATATTGTTTAAACATTTTATTTATTCATACCGTATGTATAATTGAAATATAAATAATTTGAGAATATAAAGAATATTTAGAGAAGTAATTTTATAAATCAATAAAATTAAATTATAAAAAATAATATAAGCTATAAGAATGATAGAAATAACACAAATAATTATTTATATCATACGAAATATGATAATTTGAAATAAAAATTATGTAATGTAAATAATAGCATAAGCTAGCTACCTATGATTATAAGTTATTTATATAATAAGTATTTTCAAATTCTGTTATCGTGATGAAAACAAATTAACTTATTTCTTAAGAAAATGCTTATTTCGAATTAATTCCACATAGTAAAATAATAATTTTATTGAAAAAAAAAAAAAAAAAAAAAAAAGAGCGAGAGAGAGAGAGAGAAGAGTGTATACGAAAGGTGGAATTGAATCGTATACACAACCATAGAATCGCATAAAAAAACAGTTAGAATAAAAAGAATAACAGAAATAACAGAACGGAAAAGGAAGAAAAAGCAAAGAATAAAAAAGACCTATGGTACATTAGATTTGACATCCGCAGGTCTCGAGCTCGAACATGCAGGACGTGACGCTAGTCAACGTGCAGAATAACCACACTGGGAGGTACAAATGTGAAGTAACCGAGGACATCCCGCGTTACGACACCAAACTCCAGGAGGCTGATGTCCTTGTTGTCGGTGAGATACGAGATCAGAATTTCTCCATTCGATGAATTTAAAATTTTTCAACGATCCGATTATTTCTTTCTAGTTTTTTATTTCTTCTTTTATCTGCTTCCGTTCCAAAGACATTTTCCGTAGACGTTTGTCTTATAAATTATTAAAATATTCAAAGATTTTATATATCTTCTTGTAATATTTTATAAGATTTTTAAATTTATAAAAGAAATAATATACAAAAAAAAATCGAAGTTTTTATATAAATTGTGTGCATTTTTGTATAGTATGAACTTTTAAACATTTTCCAAAATAAAATATTCAATTCTTGTAATCGTTACAATTGAAAATTTTATATATTAGACATAATTCATGATATATTATATATGTATTTATAATTGCATAACATTTCATTATAATTCACTTAATCGTATATATATTTTAATGTTGTAAGAAGAAACGATGAAACGAATATCTTTTATATACGTATCCCTTTTACAGTTTTAAGTTAAAATATATTTCTAATTCGTATTTTAAAAAGCTTGCTTGCAACATTACCTTCTAGCGAAGTTTTTAAGAAGCAAACTTCACCTTTAAGGCTTCCTTTCATAAATGCATCCAAAGTAAAGCTTAAACTCTTACTCGTGTATATATAATACTTTCTCGTCGAAGATAATAATAAAGAAAGCTCATTTGCTTCATTGAATCGCTTGGTAGCTTATTAAATTACTTAGACGGAGATAAGAAGATTACGGAACAAAAAGTACAAAGTAGGAGAGAATTAATGTAGCTTCGTTATGATGAGCAGATGTCCCAGAAACAGAGCCGAGAATTGCAGTCGACAGACTCCACTTACCAGCCGGGGAAAAACTCCAAGCGAATTGTACGTCAGGCGCTTCTCGTCCCGCCCCCAACATTACGTGGACCCTTAACGGAGCACCAGTAAGTATCAACTCACCTTCACAACTGTCTCTCATTCAAAAGGCTACGTGACCTTACTAGATGATTAAAGTTTCTCAAACTATTGCTCAACCTTCCTTTTTTAACTCTCATTGGATTATTTATTTCACCTTTTTCTTTATATTTTTTCCGCTTCCTGTATCCTTGTTTTTTTATTGTTGTTATTATTATTATTATTATTATTATTATTTCTCATTAAAATGGTTATTTTCTCTAATTATTTCTAGATCACGACTAACAAAATTATATAGTAACTACATTATAATTTATGAAAATTTCAAGCAAATATGATTTAAACATCATGGTTGAAGTATGATTTTCCTCTTATTGGTTTACAATGAATATAATATTAAATTTTGAAAATTTGGATAATTTTTTTACTTTTTGAATAATGTGACTTAATTGAAGTAGTTTAAAAATATGAATTCTTAGCATAAAAAATATATGTTAAAGTGACTTAAATAAAATAGAATTAAACTTCTTGAATATAATTATCTTTATATATTTAATGTAATAAATACTTATTCTAAACCCAATACGATAGATTCTGTATGTGTCTGGAAAATTAAATATCTCAGTTTGATATACACTCTGCAGAAGTAGACTCTTTTTTACAAAGACTCGTTTCTCTATTTAATTGATCTATATATGTATATTGTAGATTTATTATAAAAACAGTTATTAAGTGATATACAATGTTCAATAGAAAATCAATCTTAAAACATTTATTGGCAAATAAAATCGTATGTAATAAATTTAAATAAATAATTATAATTTTAAGAATTACAATAAACACACAATTATAATCTCATAACTTTAATTTAGACAAATTAGTTTTATTTAAAAATTGTTTAAAATTATATGCGAACTGCATATATGTAAAAAGTAAAAACTACTCAATATGTCGCAAATCAATATTCATGAAATAATGGAAGATGTACAATTTAAAATAATATAACAAAGTTGGAGTCGGAGCTCCAAAACTCATAATAAATTTAAATAAATTCTTATTAAGATATAGTAAGAAGGAATAATCATTAATAATGAGAATATTCCTTATTTTTTATGTGTTTAAAATCATGTTCATTAAATTCATTAATTGTATATTCAATTTTATTTATCCATTAACAAGATGATTTTGAAAATAGAAGATGAATTTTGATGAAATTAACGTTTGAATTTAAATGCTATCGTTTTAAAATTACATTATTTTCATAATTAATTTTTTTAATTAACATTTTTATATAAACTTATTTCATAAACACGAGTTCAATATTAGCTATATTTATTAACAAAATATAAAGTAATTTTGTAATATTCAAAAAAGGAGTATAATTAATCATTTATCTTAAAATAATAATAATAAAAAATCTATATTTATAGAAAAATTATAAAATATTTGTGATTATATCATTTGGCACTATAATGATTAATTTATATTTGATATTAACATTAATTTCTATATTACAAAACAACATATTATAAAATCATGGTAAATAAAAAGTACATTAAAAAAATTTTTAAATATAATGGTAAATGTGATTTTCACTTTTCTTACATCAATCAATGTTTTATAATATAATAAAATCAATTATAGTATAGACCAATGGAAATGTACATGCATTAAAATGTCGATTACTTCATTTAGGTTATTTAAAAATTTGAAAGTATAGAAAGTACGTACAAGTATTGTAATTGAATGTATGAACATATTTATTATATATAATGTAAATAATCTTTAAAGTTGCAATATCGAAAGGGTAATTAGAAATGATGCGCGAATACGGTCTCGTAAAGATAAAATTGATTCAATTGCCTAAACCAATTGTTAATTACTAATAGTCATATCATTTCCAAATTCACGCAATATTTACATTATTGAAATTTATTTTCGATAAACTCTTCTTCTCTTGTCTGTTATGGTTTTTCTTAGTATTCCATTTTTATATAGTCATTGAATTATGTTTTTTTAATCTCATTACAATAGTATATAATTTTTTAACTTGACATATAAACAGAATACAGAAGAAGCATATTGGTCGTTCCAAAAGACGCTCTGATCAGAGTTGATTGCCGATTCACTAGTAAATGTTTATATGTTTATATATTAAGGGTGTAGCAAGTTTTTAATTACTTTCAATTCAATTATCAACGGTATTTATTTACACTCTTACGTATGGTATACCTTCCAAGTTTCCAACTTAAATCTTTATTTTCACTATCAATTTAACACAATTTACTTCTATTTATTTACTAGACCTTTCAACCTACTTTTTCATTTTTTTCATTTTGCACATTTCACATGTTTTAGTTTATTTTATTTTTTCGTTCTCCATTCGCTCAATTCCTTTATCCTTCCTTCCTTTCATCTCCTTAGCTTTCATCCTTCCTTTCCTGTTTCCTGTATTCCTTACATTTAGGTAACGCTTATTGAGTTACTTTGAAATAAAAATATATTTTAATATTAATAATTAATGTATAGAAGTTTAGTAAAGTTTATTATGTGAGTTTAATATATTCTTTATATTTTCATTTAAAATAATAATTTTCTATTAAATAATAATTTTTAATATATCGCATTATATTTATTTTTTTTTGTGTAACCTACATTAATTAAATTAACATTAAATTTTTAAATGTTTTTTAAATGAGTTAAAATAACGGCATTGCATTACTATATAGATAAAGAAAATTTAATGTATTACTTATATTACCTGAAAAATTAATATTATTTTAATAACTCATCAAACGTATAACATTTAATGATAATATCCATGTACCGTGATAAAACCATATCTGAATAATGTTTATACATACAATAAAAGATACACTAAGAATTTAAAATGAATAAAAAATAAGTGATTATTACGAAAATTTTGAAGCATTCAGATTTCTTATATACTTCTGGTATCTGCATTGAATTAATCAATATCATGATATTACATACAATATATTTACTCAATATTAACTCATATATTTTATAGTATTTCCCTAATCTTATATAAAATAATATATATATATATATATATATATATATATATATATATATATCAAACGATATTATTATTAATTTTTATAAAGTCATTTTTATTATGCACAAATATATACATATTTATACATAGTCTATGTTTATAGTGTAAATTTAACTGCGTACAGGATTTAAAGTTTTCTTACTATGCATAATGTATATTAGAGCATAGGATATTGATTTTTGTGAAAAGTGTAATTAATATTCATAAAGCAATCAACTTTTCATCATCATTAATATATAATTATTGCGATGTGAACAATCTATTTAAAATGAAATATTTTAAAAAATTACATATAAATGTGTGAAAATGTTTTAATAAAAGTTTTTTTTTTTGCAAAACTTTTGGACCACTAACGATATAAAATGTATTGTAATAAATGTACGATAATTCTAGTATTTCAAAAATCTATTATTTTAATATGAAACAATTTATTTTGCAGAAATATTATGTAGTTACATAATAATTTTTTAATAAATATTTTGTCACAATATTTTACAGTAATTTAATAATTTATGTTAATATCATTAGAGTTTTTAGTAAAATTATCAACAATATTTTTCTCTTTCATCAAATATTTTAGTTAAAAATTTATCATTTCGTTTTAAAAAGTTTATGTAAACTAGTCCGTAATATTTTAATAATTTGTCAATTAATTTTTTGCATTAGAATCATTAATTTTGTAATATAAAATTTATATTTTTAATATATATATATATATATATATATATATATATATAGTGTATTTATTTATGTAAAATTAATATATCGCATTATAAATTGCACGTATTAATTTCATTAAATGTAATACTATTAATTTAAAAAAATAAAAGACATCTTTTACTAAACCAATATTGCTATCATTTTTTCTTATTAAATGTTTTATGAATTCGTTAATATTAAAATTAATATTTCATGATGATATATATTAATTTATGCTGCAAATGTATAACTGCGATTTACATTGTACTGAAAAGGCAGGTGACTTTAATATGAGTTAATATAAAATCAATGAAAATTAAATTTATTATTCATCTTATAAAAAATTTCTTTTTCAAATTACTGCTTTTATATATTTATAATTATTTTTAGTATCGACTCATGTAATTATATAATTATTATTACTGCTTGTAACATTTTCAAAACATGTATATGTCATTTATGAGCACGACATATAAATTATTATAACATATTAAAATTATTATATTCGCATATCGTTCCGCTGATAGAACATTTGATAAGTAAAAATTGTACCACATAATAATAAAATTAATATATTAAATGATAATATTTTCAGCGACAATAAAGTAATGCCTATAATGTTTTATTGTTAGTTTTAGAATTTTTTAAAAACATTTGTAAAAAAAAGAGTTTGAAAATGTAAGAAAAAATGTTTTTATGTATTCAAAAATTCCATTGGTTGATCTAATTAATGTATTTTCTCCTTATTTATTTTGATTTATTTAAATTATTTTTTTTAAGTGACTCAAAGAAACAAACTTAAATTAGAAAAATTAAAAAAACCTTTTTAATATAGTTAAAAAAAAATTTTTAATTTTATATTAGGATAAAAGAATAATTTAGAAAGTATATATATATTTAAATATGGTTTTATTGAAAGAAATATTTAGCAATATTTTAAATAAATTAAATTAATTTTACTACTTGAAATATTAGTTAAAATATACTATAAGTTTTTCGAATGATTCCACGTACGTAGCATCAATTTTCTTATTTGCAACTTTAAGTAATTTATAATATAATTATAATATAATAATAAAGTTTTTAAATAGTATTTTAAAGCAGAAAATCTTTTCAAATATAAATTCTAAATATTAAATCAAATTTTTTTGTTTAAATTTTTAATTATTCTGCTCAAATTTTAATGAAACGGTTATTCGTGGAAAAGGTATATTTCCAACTAAGCAGATTTTCTCAATTTCTTACACAGCCTTACATAAAAGGCAAAGATAGCAAATATACATAAATTTCATAGTGCAGAAG